AGTTACTACTCGTCTCCAAGGCAACCACTGAGTAAGCCATCACCAGGTTAAGTGTTCACGGATGTGGACCCAAGCATGTAAAGAGGAACGGGACTAAAATCCTAAGTGCCGATAGTAACAAACCTTTATATTTGCGGAATGCATTATGGTTTACAAAGTCCTTTTCCCTATACTATCTCCTGGGGTCCTTACAGCAACCTCGTGAGAAAGGAAAAACACCAGTCCCCATTTTAGAGACCTAAAAAGTGAGGCTTAGAAAGGTCTGAGACTTACCTGGGTCACCCAACTTGCATATTACTATAAGGGTGGGGAAAAGGAGGCTGACAGTTGTGAGTACATGAAACATACGGTTTATTCTTATATTATCATTTATTAATTACTGTCTTATTTTCCGTATGATTACAAACTTACTTTTACCCCATCCTGTATTACTACTAGTCATCCAACTCATTTATTACAGAGCTAGGACTCAAAGCCTGAAACCAGACCACTGAACCTTGCTGCTTCCTTCAAATAAATTGCCCATTACATTAAAAACACACACACTTAGAGAACATTATGTACAGTAACATCTGTGTCTATAAAAGCCTTAGGAATTAATGTTATTTACGCACGGAAACAAATTGGAACACTGCACACCAAATTGTTCAGTTATACATTTCTGTAATGTTTCCGGTTTGTACAATGAGCTTGAATTACTTTTGTAATTAAAAAAGGCAATAGCCGTGCCCTAACCGGTTTGGCTCAGTGGATAGAGCGTCGGTCTGTGGACTGAAGGGTCCCAGGTTCGATTCCGGTCAAGGGCATGTACCTTGGTTGCAGGCACATCCCCAGTAGGGGGTGTGCAGGAGGCAGCTGATCGGTGTTTCTCTCTCATCGATGTTTCTAGCTCTCTATCCCTCTCCCTTCCTCTCTGTAAAAAATCAATAAAATATATATTTTTTAAAAGTCTGTAAATATTTAAATAAATAAATAAAATAAAAAATTAAAAAGGCAATGGCCCTAGTTGCTTTGGCTCGGTGGATAGGGCGTTGGACTGCAGAATAAAGGGCCCTCAGTTGGATTCTAGTTTAGGGCACACACCTCGGTTGCAGGCTCAATCCCCAGCTGGGGTCAGGGCATGTGCGGGAGGCAATCAATCGATGTGTCTCTCTCACATGGATTTTCTCTCTCTGTCTCTCCCCCTCCCTTCCATTCTCTCTAAAAATCAATGAAACAGCCGAAACCGGTTTGGCTCAGTGGATAGAGCGTTGGCCTGCGGACTGAAGGGTCCCAGGTTCGATTCCGGTCAAGGGCATGTACCTGGGTTGCAGGCACATCCCCGGTGGGGAGTGTGCAGGAGGCAGCTGGTCGATGTTTCTCTCTCATCGATGTTTCTAACTCTCTATCTCTCTCCTTTCCTCTCTGTAAAAACTCAATAAAATATATAAAAAATAAAAATAAAAATCAATGAAACAATATCCTCAGGTGAGGTTTAACAACAAAAAGGCAATAAAAATATTTTTAAATCTGTAGAGTGGGTTTAGTATTTACACTGGTTCATTTCCTCCCACCCAAGAAGTTGGCTATGATTAGGGTCATTCCCTATAGCGGGCTGGTTTACTGCAGGACAATGCTTCTGAGCCAATGGTTCCAAGTTACTGGGCCCCCAATGCTTGGGGGATCGAATCAATGACTGCAATGGGTCCTCACGATCCATCTGCCTACTGACTAGTACATGTGAACTGAAAAAATATCATGCCTCACACACAGATGTCCAACCATTTTTCAAGTAAATACAGACGCTGTAGTGTGGCGAATGAAATACAAACTCAGTGTGACGCAGTACTAACCTCAGCGTCATTTTTTGTTATTAGGCTCTATACTAAAATCATTACTACCAGGCCGGTGTCATTCCTTGACTTTGACATAAAAGACTTTCCTTAAGCCCTGGCCGTGTGGCTCAGTTGGTTGGATGTTGTCCTGTACACCAAAAGGTTGCCAGTTTGATTCCCTGTCAAGGGCACATGCCCAGGTTTGGGGCTTGATCCCCGGTAGGGGATGTGCAGGAGGCAGCCGATGCGTGTTTTGTTCTCCCTCTCCCTTCCTCTCTTTCTACAAATAAATAAAAATATTTTCTTAAAAAATACTCTTCTTAATGAGAATTCCATGTCCCCCAGCAGCAGAGATGGCAACACACCCAGACTCCCAGCGACCACAGGTCATGCCTCTCCTTGGAGAGAACCCTGGACACCTGGGAGCCAACTGATGAAGACCCTGTGACGTGTGCGCCTCCGTAAGGCTGATCGAAAGGTAAGAGGCCCTTCAGGCACCACAGCCAGACACAAGGCTCCAGCCCTAAGCCTCCACAGCTGGTGTGATTTCAGCCGCCCGTTTCCAATTTCACCTCCATGAAAAGGCCGGCACCTCCGAGGTGGCTGGTGCTGCCGGGGTCCATCTCCTCGTTAGCACCGACCCCATAAAATGAAGGGGGGATGACTTGATCCTTGAGGTCCCTTCTGGCTTAGTTAGACATGCTGTGACTGTACCAGGCAAAAACTCCCCTGGAATGCAGCAGGACGTGGAAACCAGGGCAGAGATCCTGACCTCCGAAACTTCCTTTCTGGCTTTCCCATCATCCATCTACCAGAGGGCCAAGGTCAGACCTTTTCTCCCCCGGCCCCTGGGAAAAGACATGCGCACAGGCAGGCGTGGCTGCTCTCCGTCGGTCGGCATGGTGGAACCAGCCTGAGTCAGCAGCACAGGCAGTGAAAACGAATTCCTCTCCTGAGGAGACTGATCTGACATCACTTCATGTATAGCTCAGTTTTTTCTAAAGAACAGCACACCCCTTGTTTAAAAAATGGCCCCAGGGATCACTTCATTTGGGGTTAGCAATGCTTCTAGTTTGGCAAACTCTACCTCCAGAGAACGGAGCCTGATCAAACTCCTTTCTATGAGCAAATCTAGTGGTGCTGAAGATAAAATCCAAAAGCATCAGCCAGGTGCGTAACGACCATGCCTCCCTCCTAACCAACCTCATGCCATTCCCCCACTAAGTCTAGCTACAGGGGTTCCTTGTTTCTTTCCCACCGCGGGACCCTAGCACCTGCTATGGCCTCTGCCTAATGAATGTCTCACCCTTCAAGCCTCAGCTTCAATAGCCTTTCTCAGAAGCCTTCCCTCACCCCCAATCTAAGTTAAATCCCCCATCATCCTTCTTCATCGAGGCACTGGTCACACTAGGTTTGTCACTCTGTTTTGTGGGTTAATTTATTTAATGTCTGAGGACCTACTAAACAGGAAGGTGTGTGAGGGCAGATCTTGTCTGCCTTTGACCCTGTGCCCAGCACCATGCCAAGCACATAGTAGGTACTCCATAAATAGCTGTCCAGTGAATGATTGAATCTAGAATATCTAGTGTTATTTAATATGTATTCATGCTTAATTTTATCCTTTAAAAATGTGACTATTTTATCAGAGAAAGATAAGTATCACATGATCTCACTCATTTGTGGAATATAATGAACAACATAAACTGATGAACAGTAACAGATCCAGAGACAGAGGAGCATCGATCAGACCATCAAACCTCAGATGGAAGGTAGGGGAGGGTGGGGGTAAGGGGGAGGGATCAACCAAAGGACGTGTATGCATGCATATAAGCCCAGCCAATGGACACAGACCCCAGGGGGCGGTGAGGGCATGAGTGGGGGGAGGGTAAGGGGGGGGCAAAGAGGGGATAAAGACACATATTTAATACCTTAATCAATATAGAAATTTTTTTTTAAAGTGACTATTTTAAAAAGGGATCAAATAAGAATTTCTCTCAGCATGGCTACCCTGGAAGGTGACCACTCACAAAACTAAAATGATGGGAGTGGGAGAAAAGGTTTGAAAAGATGGAAAAGGAAGTTTCTCTTGATTTTACATATTTTCAAGTATTTCTCTTGAGATACTCAGCGGCTAAGAGCTCTGGAATTTCCAGCATTCGGTTCAAACTGTCCTGTGGGAGAGGCATTTCTGCTGAGAACATCCCACAGGTCCAGGACAAGCCGGAACCGGTCTCAAGAGCCCCGAGCCTGAGTAATCAAGGCCTAGGGATCTAGCTTCCCATCGACTTTTTTTTTTTTTCTTCTTCTTAAAGCCAAACTGATGAGAAGCCAAAGGAAATCTTAGAGTGTTACAAGACAACATCATCAGATGGGACTTGGATGAAATTACATGTAAACTTTTAAAATGGAAATAGACAAGTAACCATGTAAATGCAATGTATCATTTAATAGGAAGGTTTCAGAATCAATTTGTGTAGCTAACAAAAAGAGATTAAATATATTGAATTAACTAATTAAAATTAATTAATTTTAAGAAATTAATTAAATAAAAATGAATTCATTCTTTTATGAGCTGTTGGGGTGTGTTTTTTAATGACTTGAACAAATACAGATTTGCCTTCGCCTGGCCAGTGTGGCTCAGGGTTGCGCACTGACCTATGAACCAGGAGATTACAGTTCGATTCCAGGTCGGGGCACATGCCCAGGTTGCTGGCTCCGTCCCAAGTAGGGGGCATGCAGAAGGCAGCCAATCAGCGATCCTCTCTCATCATTGGTGTTTCTATCTCCCTCTCCCTTCCTCTCTGAAATCAATAAAAATATTTTTTAAAAATAAAACATATGTATATTTGCCTTCTACAAAGCCCTTTCACACCCAATCTCCTCTTTGAGATTTTAATAATGGTGACCTCACCACCAACATATGAGAGATGAGGAAACGGACCCACAGAAGCTGTGACTGACTCAAGTTCACACAGCTAACAGCTTGAGCCTGCCCTTGACACCAGACTCCCTTTCTGCTTTACCACAAAGCCACAAGCAGATGCTCCCAGCCCAAAGCGAAAGAGAAATCCAGAATTAAGGGGACTCATCACATTCTACAAAAGATACTCGAGTGTCACAGATCCT